AAGGCATTTACTAAATGCTGATTGACAGTTAAAACTCGGTGCTACCCTTGCGGTTCCCATGCGCAATCAGCGCTTCACAATCCCAGGTGACTGGACACCATAATTGTGGATCGGACAATATTACCGTGCGGCGTGTAATACAGCCCGTATTACATATGGACATTTTATAAGTGTGCAGTATCCCGAACTACAACATGTGGCCACCGTTTGTGTGTTTTTAATCCGAATGGAAGGAAGTACTGTGTCATAGCGCAGCTTTCGTCATCCGACATACACTTTTCGTACAGTAAAGGAAATTCTCACTCAAGAACCCAAGCCGAGCTTTTTCTTCCGATAAGTAAAATGAAATTGCAGATTTCGGAAATAGTTATGTTATTCAGACTATACTAGATGTTTGCAAAATGTGGAAATGTGCGTTGATTTATCCTTTTATTCCATTATTGCGTAAACTACCCTTTACCTTTGTCATTATTAAAATCGTAGGCAAATTACTTTCTCAAGTGAAGGCGAACCATTTAACATCTATTTATGTTTACGATCCACTGGCCTTAAACAACGCAACAAATCGCCCTAAAAGCACTAGACAACTGTTTCGAAATGATGTCATATGTAGAATCTTCAGGGGTCAACCCTGTCCTCCGAGACCTTCATAAGTTGCGTGACCGTGGAGGAGAACACGCGTTAAATCGCCGTTTGTTTGTAATTTATGACGATTCACAACTGTCCGCATAGCTCAGTAGGATAAGCTGTGGTCTGGTGGTTCCAGTCGCAAGTAGGTCCTAATGGTACCAATGAATTTGTAACAAAAGGTTAGAAAGGTTGATAAGGACTTTTCCGAACATGTGGTATCATCTGATTTGGAAACTCTGACCATATCCAAAGCCCGATAGCCGGTGTTAAACAATCTGTTCTTAAAATATTCAACAAAGTTCCTGCACTTTATATTAAAGTTCAGTTTCTTAAGCTCTTCACCACCCATCCTTAAGTACGGTAGCAAACTGAACGATAACTTGCAAAAGAGGGACAGAAACGCAGTGGAACAACTGCACAGGTTGGTTACTGCATCGGAGCGGTATTCCTCTGTCAAGACTTCTTGAGAGCGGTGTAACAGCTTCCAACTTGAATTACCTTGGTTGTAACAAGTAAAGCCCGTTTTGTTGCTTTTCAATCTGCTGCACAAAAAGACTAATTTCGATCCACCTACACTTGAACTATAACACGTCCCAGTTCTAGGGTTTCGCAAAACGGACGGTGTTCGAATTGTAGCAAAGACTATGGTATGCATATGCCCTGCTTCCTTCCTGGTCAGATAAACCGTTCTGTGGAATGAACCGCCAATCATGTTCAGATTATGCGTATAGGTGGCAAAATTTAATAACAAACACAGAAGTTATTTTTACCTGAAAACCATGATTAAAATAACTACTGATGAAAGGTTACTCTTAGAGTTATTTCAACAGATGTTTAAAACATTTAAACATGTAGCTTTCTAAAACTGCGTTAGCATTAACCATGCACTAAATTGCTATTGCATGAATTTCCTGCCCAAACATTGCGTATATGCCTATCGCCACTACAAAAACTTGGTTACTTTTGTACATCGTAATCTGTGTCGCTTCAGACGCAGTTCCTTGTTTCATGAAAATATGCCAATTGTTTTATTAGTAGTAGTGTTAGCAATATTGTCTTACTATCGCAAACTTGGCGCACGGTTGCGTAATGCAATTGGCGTGAACATAAGTTTATTTTCCAGGAAGCCTAATCCATAAACCGATCTCCGAAAACCAAAAATAGCAAGGTGTTGGAGCAATTTTCCACTAATACGGACAGTATTCAGTGTTCGTAGCAGCTGTGTGCTTATCGTCAGTTATTTATAAACGGGGCTAACTTCAAGTACAAAGAGGCCCAGTTGCTACCAAACGTTCTTTAGTGTTGGGCTAACATTGTGGTTAAACAGGCCGCAACGTTGTATGTTGCGGATTGCCTCGTTTCCAATGAAAACGAAGGTTGAGCTATGATCAAGCTTGAGTTTACCAACGACTACCAATGACGTGTATTGGTAGGCGTGGTAAACTCCTTGATTTGCGAATAAGCTGTGGTCTCAATCCACGGTTGGGTAAATCTGCAAGGATAACACAGCGTTTCACTACAGCATTGTATTGTGTAGAAAAAAGTAATATTTAGGCGGGATGTTTTAGTACATGCGACAGCTTTCGCGTGTATAAGCCACAATTGCACAAAATACTAGATAATTGCCATAGACATGAATCTATTGCAAACCAAAAGAGAAAGCTTTAGTGGTAGCCAATGGAAGCTAACGGATTGAAACGGGGTCTGTGGACTTGTAAAAGTTTCAGTTTCATTTAAGAGTCTCAAACAATTAAAGAGAGTAAGAACAACGGGATGTTCGATGGGAAAGGTATTTACCACTGAGGAAAACAGAATCGTCGATCTCCTCCACTGCAATGATACTTTATAACTTTTTCTAGACTTAGCTGGTTGTGAAGTAGTCTGTTGGTCTCTTCTCTCTTATCCGCTTCTTATACAGATTCTACAAGCTGGACCACAGTAACTTATTCTTAAAAGAAATGCGTAAAGCGTCTTGGTTTCTGCACCTCTGGTTCCGGTTTTCCTACATCAGTCTATTTACAAACCACTTTTGCTCTAAAAAAGAACGTTAAAAGGGAGTTTAGCTTGGACAATGTTGCAACGATCACATTTCGCTTTCATTATAACTGCCATACACAAACATTTCAAACCAATTGTATTTCTATCCCCCATTTTTAAAAACGACCTCTGCTCGTGTTTGTTAAATTGCTTAAAATATTCCTCATAGATGGAGAATCTTTGGCTTACCCATACTGGACAATCACTAGTCAATTCAGTGTTCCTAATGGATTTATATTATAACTCCGAATTGGTGACTATACTCTTAGCTCTGTTTATTTTCCGTTCACATTTTCTGTATAACCTTGGTGACCAGAGGTGTAGATAATTAATTATATTAGGCCGTTCTTTCAAGTGCACAGTTAGACACCTTAGGAGCAAGAGTTACTCTTTTGTCGCCTGCGATATTTTTGCTTGTAGTTAGTGATTGTGCGCACAGTGAGAAACGTTTTACTTATACGCAGTGAAGTTAACCCCTTCCAGCTTGTAAATTTAAGTGATGTGTACAGGAATCTAATATTGTTAAATGGCATCTTCGTGTGCGAAAGCACGACACAGTGGTTGGTAATTAGATAAAGTAATTGATTAACTGCGTTACAGTCACCCCTCAAGATGTTCTTCGTGTCAGTAGCCAGCATAATTATCAACAATTCTAATCTTGATAGCTGCTCAATTTTTACGCGGTAACAAGCTTTCGGTGATTGTATGCCCATAGCAGGGCGAAAAACGATGAGTAAAGTGCATGTAAATGTCTACTAAGTTAACCAGAAAGTTTCGGCGTAGTATGCGGATGAGTACCGGTATCTGTTCCTACAACCTTTCGATCTAACAAATGGAACATTCTCAGTGATTCATCAAGAGCATCAGTATGAGGCAAACAACTGTTTTCAATCATTCATCTACGGGCCGGTACAGTCATATAAGGTTAAATTACAAAGGGATGGATAGTGATTGGTTCGGGGTTTGTTCTGAACTGACTTGGTCAATGGTTAGACATCGAATAGTTCGCCGTTGTCTCATGCACCCAGATCGACTGAGGGTTACGTACTCACAATGCCTGATCCGATGTCAGGGTGACGGCTAGGCTGATGGATGTTCGCCCAGGGCATGTATAGAGATTGAACAAACTTTTCCTGTGAGCACAGCGGGGGTTGGAATATGCGGATCGCAATGGCCTCTGCAGTGGCGCGCATCCTTAACCGCGTACCTTTCTATTTGCTCATTGGAACCTGATAAATCACAGTAAATGCATTCGAGCGGTTAAGCTGGTGACCTGATTCGTACAGGTGAGACAAAATACCGCTTGTAATCACTCCGGTGCCCCCGTTCAGCAACCACTTAGGGCTATGTTCCTTAATGCGACGTGATAGTTGACGAGCCGTCCGACCAATTTATGTTGCCCCACAAGTGCACTCAAATCGGTAGATAACGTAAGAAGAGGTCAGCTTAGGCGGTCTGTCCTTGTTACACACAGGAATTAGCCGGTTCATGGCGAAGATGCATCGTAACTCCACAGTCGGAAAGGTGTCCCTTATCGATTGCGTCAGTTTCCTTGTTAAAAGCTCACTAACTCTATCACCTGGTTAGTTGATGACTAGCTGGGTGTACACATGCTTGAGCCTATGGTTTTGCTTTACCGGTTTGCATTTAGCTTACTCCATTTCAATATGAACTTTTTTGTACATTATTGTCGCTGCGTGGCAGAAGTTGTTGAAGTTATACTTAGAAACATGCTTTTGTAATTTTCGTTGTAATAAAAACCCTTCTTACCTAAAGGTTAAGCCGACGTTTATTGTGATATGCAAACAAATGATAATGCACCTAATGTGCTTTTTATTTTTCGACATAACTCTGCTTAAACGACATACTAGTATTGAAAATTATTATCGTAGAAGGAGCATTTTAACTATTACTTGGAATCTTTCCTGCGCCATTAGCGCGTGTGGTTTTACTGACTCAGTAAAGGGCAATACAGGTCGAGATACCCTACAACTTATATCGCAAATGACTCTCTACGCTAAGGTAACACGAAACAATGTTTTTCACAGAAATCCGCTGCATTATGAACTAGCAGCCGCAGTTTCACACTGAGCGCACCACGCGCTACTTTTCCTTGCGAGCAATGATGCCTGTGCCGAATGCTACATTTGCTGGGAATTGATTTACAATCCCGCGACAGCCGTGTGACGATTTTAATTTGGTACTCACCCTGGGCATATTGCTATCGCTATGTTATCAATTTTTAGGCAGTTACTATAATTTGCTCTACCTGCAAATGTAAACCGTATACGTCTATCTGATAGACAATAAAAACTCGCACATTCTCATTTTAGATTGGTCTAGCCGTTGGTGATATCGAACACGTCCGTCGGAGCGCCGTTCAACAACTGATCTCTCAACAAGTTTATTGGCTGGCCGACCTGGAGCCAAAACTGATGTTCCTATTTAGATCGCGAATTTATCAACCATATTGGAAGAGAAAATCCAGAAAGCGATTTAAAGCTGGTGTAAGGATCTAAATCTGACAAATTGATTTAAATTACTTGTCTTTTCTCATCGTATCCTGCAACTGTTCCTTTTTATAATTTTAATGGATTAGGTTTTACCGGGTGAGGATTCTGACCACGGTTTGAATGATGTGACTCTGCGGAGCAACCTAAAAGAAGCATTGTCTCGGTAAGCTTGATTTGAACACTCACTGATTTAAAATTATTCATTGAAAGTAAGCTTTTCTCTGGATTAGTCCTGATAGCTGGGTTTATATTCAACGGTTTTATTTTACTCCCGATGCTTTTTAAATATCCAAATTTCTAGGCGGCGCTATGTAAGTGCGACCAGGACTGGTTCAGTAAGAACGAAAGCAAGTTCCCAACAATATATAATATTTATATTATAACGACAGAGCAAGAATGACGCTAGCCGATTTATCAAATTCGCAAAGGTAAGAAATAAAATCCAAGAACTTGAAAGCCTTACCATAAACTTATTTGAATAGGATCTTATAACGAATAGAAGAAACAGCATAACGTAATCAAAAGTAAGCGTTAGGAGTTGAGATATCAGTCGAGATATCGGTCGCGACATCAGATACAGAGTTAAAACTGCAACACTTGAACTCACTTGAAGCATAAGTGTATCGCACTTGATAGAAAAATTTCTGAAAAGATTAAATAGCCGGTTCGTTGTAAGCGTTAAACGGCAAAGCGGACATCAAACATAAAATGCTGCAACTGATCGGATGGTTGTGACTCAAGCTCAGCTACTCATAATTTGCTAGTAAAATATACGCCATAAGTTAATTGTAATTCGCTTGACAACCGGATTGTTAAACAGTTTTGTAAATTTCTTCACAAAAAGTAATCAACAAGGATGCGCAGCATTCGTCCGAATTTGTTTACGGTAGAGGACTGAATCTAGGAACACGGCATGGAGAAACTATCGCTCCCCTCCAACGGCTACTCAGTGCGAATCTTACTAACTCATCCGCAACCAGTGCGCTCAACTTGTAGGCAAAACGAAAAGCGCGCATCCGCGTCAGCGTATGCGTAAATTCGCATTCAATCTCAAAGCCTTGTATAGTCACTTCAACAGTACTCAACAAGTTAAGCACGATATCACCGCGCTGACGACCTCAAAGGGCTCACAAAGGCAGCGAACGAAGCAGCAGAAGGCCTGGGCCAACAGTACGCAACCACATTCCCCGTTCGTCCAGTGCATACAATGATAGTACCCTCTTCCGTTTCATCCACAACGTCCCTGCAGACTGTTCAGTTCACTCCGGAGAAGGTCCTGGCGAAACTCAAATCCCTGCGGCTAACGGTCTGTCCTGGCGATGATGGTTTCCATCCAAGGTTCCTGGGAGTGTGCGCTGCAGCTCTAGCTTTACCAATTGCGGAGATTTCCTCCACTTCTTCTCACAACGCGAGGTTCCCAGTGATTGTAAATGTGGTAGTATTACGCCAATCCACAAAGGAGGCACGCGCAAAGACCCGGTCAATTACCGACTGAGTACCCTCCTCTCCACGATCTCCAAAATTGATGGAATCGATCCTCGTAGACGCTTTAATGGACAACAAGGCGGCCCAGAAACTGCTCTCCGACTGCCAACTCAGCATCCGGCGGCGATGGTCGTTCCTGGGTAACCTGCTACTTGCCAGGGATAGGTGGACGACTGCTGTCGAGTCTGGCCTAGAAATTCATGTCATATTCTTGGATTTCGCTAAGGTCTTCGATAAAGTCGACCACGATATCACACTCCGCAAACTGTTTTCACGGCATATCAGGAGTCTTGATGGACTGGATCCGGAACTATCTCGGAAACCGTACCTTCCAAGTACGCGTCGATGGAGCGTTGTCCCCCCGCATCGTTGCCACAAGCGGAGTTCCACAGGGATCTGTTATCAAACCGGACTTATCGAGGATGTCATAACGCAGGTGGAGTCTTCGTTGCTGCAATATACAGAGACTGCGAAGCTGTGGCGCACAATCAACGCTCCGGACGATACCCACGCACTTCTGATTTATCACTGCCGTCTACACCAGTGGTCCATTGAAAAATTCTATATTTAACTTCGAAATATCGCGTCCTCTCTACCCGCCCCTCCGCTTCTTTTCCTACATGCTTCCTGGGGGCGTCTATTCCCCATGTCTCATCAGCCAAAATAGAGTTGAACATCATTACTCAGACGGATCTTTCTGTATCAGCTTCCTGCTGGAAATCAGCCTCTGCTACTGACCGCATTGTGGGATTGCTGAAGGGCACATTCGGTCAAATTGAAGCCATCAATTTCCGCCTCCTCCTCAACGGCTTTTTGCGATCGCACTTAGATTTTGTTATTCAGGCTTAGAGACATTGGTTGCTGAATGACTAACGTTTACTTGAAGCCCCACAACGTCGAGCTACAAAACTGCTCCGAGGTCGCAAACATCTACATTATCCACAATGAATTCACTTCCTGGGCCTCCACTCGGTAAAGTACCGACATCTCCGAGGCGACTGGATCCTTGTATTTACGATCTTATCCAATCCTGAACATCCCTGCCACCAACTACTCACACTGCACCAATCGTGCTCCCAGCTACATGACTACCCACTGAAGCACACACATTAGCACAGTCGGCTGAACTGTAGGCGACACTACTGGGCTTTGCAAACTGGCTGACTGTGGAATGCTCTGTCTGCCGACCTAGTCTCGGCACCTACTGTGGCTGATTTAAAGACCCGCTTGGACTGTCATCTTGCCGGGCTAAACCGCGACCTTTCCTGAGACAACTACCTTTTACCCGACTACAAATTCCACACGGGCCCCAGCCAAGTTCCAGCTGCTTTCTACCCGACGCAGGAGCTTCTTCTTCAACTCTCAACACTTATGATATACACATTGACGGCGGTTCTTTTCTTTTTTCTCCTTTACCTATTTCCTTTCCATAGCCGTTTAGGAGGGCTCGGTGGGATTTCACGCTTTGATCTGGCGTGCACTTTTTAAATTCCACATAAGCCCGATGAAGATACGGCTAACACGAGAGTACAACCCGCTATAGGGTTGCTACGCCTTTATTTAGACCCCAGCCTAACTTTGTTACCCTATTAAATACAATATTCCAATGCAAACAATGCAAATAGAGAGTGACACAAATGCTGCAAAAGCAAATGATAATATCTAATTTAATCAAGCCAATTTTACTAAACTTTCACAAACTTATTAAACGTACTTATTTTTTCGAGGGTGTTGTATGATGGTGTCTGTCGTCCCGTTGAAATTTGTCCTGTATTGGCATGGTTCCTCTCAGGCGATGCGTCACATTTTAAATAAAACTCACAACGGTACTGCCGTCACGGGACGAAATGCGTTAACAATATTGTTGGTCTTATGAAATTTCCGTATATTTTAAGGGAGTAATAACTCTGTCACATCAGTTCTTATTGTACCCCGTAGCATAGTTTTCATTACCACGGAAAAATAACAAATAGACTAGGTGTTGCAGTCACGCCGGATCAAATGGACTGAGCACTGCTGACGGCAAACGTAAGCAAAAATCTAGGATACAATGAATTTCCTGGAAAATATTTGGAACCGAATGAGAAGTCATCTTTTCAAAAAGGTTTGACAAACAATCGGTTATTGTATTTGTTATATTGTACAACGTTTCGCTTTTGACTCTACCGCTTCATCAGGCAAAGTGAATTAGGCTAAAGGTGAGTGGCAGTCTAAAGCTAGGGTACAGTGCCTTTCCATATTTATGATGGTAGCCTGTTTGAGTCTTAAATTGTGGAAATTATACTTTGGTCATTTTCGAATGAGTTAGCACAGTATACTCGTAGAATAATGTTATACAAATAACGGCAATCTTTTGCACAGTTAACAAGGCTTAAGGATCTTAGATGTACTATATTAAATTAATGGAATTTTTGTGAAGCTTCTGCGGAATCAATAACTTGAAAGCAAGTACTGCTTTGTCCGGTTAAATCATCTAACGCTCTGAGAATAACTAGACCATGATCTTTACATTTTAGAATGCTAGCTCTGGTGATTGTTACAACTTTGAATTCAACCGCTAAAAATAATTTTCGCTCGTATATCTTGACCTTTCGCCGTTGTTTTCTGAACAGTCTACTACGGCAACATACGTACACGATGCCGTTGTCATAAAAATATACTTGAGATTGAGGTATTCTTATTGCTGTCTCAACATAAAGATTCCTATAGTCATTATAAGATAACCATGAAACATGACTGTGTGAAACGGCCGATTGTAGCCAGTATTTTTTTTACGTTACTTATATACGCGTATGCTGACCTATTGGAGCGCAGGGGCACTCTTACAACCAAGACATTTCCTGATAGTATATTATCATACATCCAGCAAATGTTGAAATAAAAGTACAAGCACTAATTCAAAGGCACAATTAGATGTGATGACAGAGGCGTCCGTCTATTAAGTGCAGAGCAAGAACCTAATGCCACCTACAAGTTCATTTAAAAGAAACTCAGGACACTGTTTAGTTTTTGGTGGTAGACAATAAAGTGTGCATGTAGGTACTCAGAAATGGGGCACTATTCAAAGCGTAGTAAAACTGAGAAGTTCTAACTGAGAAACTAAGCTGCTCGTGTTTGTATCACATTTGTTGTGGGTGTAGGGCGGCACCATCTGAACATGAATCTCAGATTGTAAAAAAACAACTTAAACGTCCTTAGACGGTCGCCTCAGCTTTAACTCTGCTGGTTACAAACCTTATGGCACGCATCTGTCTTTGCGTCAAATAGTTTACGTTTCACCCCTTATTTTTATTTCCCTCATTTATCCATATACATCACGTACGATGAGGTTCAGGCTTCGAACACAGCGCACGCTACTACTCCCTAGCTTGGTTGCTTAATGCGTGCATGGTAGTGTTTTGTCGTATTACGAGTTGCTTCCAGCGCCGCATAGTTAGGCCTGCATTCGCTCAAGCATACAAGTAGCTGTCAAGAAAATTGCTAATGATTATCTAACATGATGACCTAGCATTAAAAATCAAAAAGCTTCCACTCATCTGTAGTGTAAAATGCAGCCTCTCCTAGTTTCCAATGATTTGGACATCGCGTCTAATGAGAGGAATTTATGACCTTCGGAGGCTAGCCACTGTCATCTGCTAAGGTAGTAACCTGCGTGGCAGTGGAAAATAAGTCGTGCTA